CGGAGCGCCGTGCCCCCTCGGGAGGCAGCGGGGCTGGTGCTGGCCACGGGGCTGAGCTCCTGTCCCCCTCGGGAGGCAGCGGGGCTGAGCTCCTGTCCCCCTCGGGAGGCAGCGGAGCTGGTGCTGGCCAAGGGGCTGCGGTCCCGTCCCCCTCGGCAGTCAAACCAGGTGGTGCTGGTCACAAGGCGGCTCTCTCCTCTCTCTTGGAAGCCAGTGGTGGTGGTTCTGGCCATGAGGTTGCCCTCCCGTCTCTCTTGGGAGGCAGTCCAGCTTGTGCCGGCCACACGGCTGCCCTCCCGCCACCTCATGAAGACTGCGAAGCAGATGACGCCCCCGGGGTTGTCCTCTGCCTGCCTGGCAGCACGGATGCCGTCGTGGACCAGGAGGTGGTAGGCTGCCCTCCTGCACCGTTCCACGGCATACCGAATGAGTCCTTGCACGAACGCTGTCGTGCGGCTTCCGAGGTCGGCCTGCAGCGCCTCGACCAGGTCGTCTTCATGCAGGCCCATGACGGGCAGGACATTCTGGATCATGTGTTCCAGCATGAGAGCCTCAGAACGCTCTTCCCCAAAGATGCGCCCCAGCTCCTGACGCAGCCAGGGCCGCAGGAGCTGGAAGAGATCTGGGTGGTTCCGGAAGAGGCTCCCCCAGGTCCAGGGGGAAAGGCCGCCCACGAACCCTGGATCCGGATTCCATGGTTGGTGTTCCCTGGATGCTCTTGGCGCTGGCAGTCCGTAAGCGCCCTCCTCTTGGGCGCTGCCCAACGATGCCGCAGGTGGTCTTATGGGGAACTCTTCAAATTCGTCCCCCCGCAGCGAGTGCCGGATGGAAGTCACCCTCCTCTTGCAGAGGGGGCACTCGGGCTTGGTCTCTGCCCACCGCCGGATACAGTTGAAACAGAAGCGGTGGAGGCACGGCATGGTACAGGCTGCGTTGTCCCAGGTGTCAAGGCATATCGGGCAGCGGTCCTCCGAGGCCGTGGCCATGCTCAGCACGCGCTGCGGTGGGCTGGGGAGAGCTGGTGGGGATGGCCGACTCCTCCTCTCCGACGCTGCAGCGGCGGGTGTCCCGCTAGAAGAGGAAGAGAGGCCACGGTCATCGGCTGGCCCGGGGAGGGGTGGAAGAGAAGCCCAGGTCCCTCCAGAAGGAAACCCGCCCAGCTCCCCAGGGTGAAGTCTGCCCGCGCAGCTCACCTCTGCTGCGGCGAGCGCGCCTCCTGGGTGCCCCGGCTGCCTGAAGCAGGCAGGGCCAGGGAAGAACCTGCAGTGGCTCCGGGGATGGGCGCTGAGACCTGCAGCCACCAGTTGCCAGGGCACAAGCCCAGCACCGAGCCAAAGGCTTGCTCCACACTCCAAGCCTCGCCGAAATGCTCAGCTGGAGTGAAGGCACGAGCCGGCTGGGAGAGGCTGGGCGCCCGAATATAAGCAGCGAGGGCCGCGACGTCACAGTGCGTGGCTGGGGGACGTCACAGTGCGTGGCTGGGGGACGTCACAGTCCACCGCTGGGGGATGTCACCATAGGCCATCCTCGCCTGCAGCGCTCGCCCAGCAGCCCTGCAGCCCTGGCACACGCCTCGGGGCTTGCCACAGTGCCACTTCCCGCTCCGTCCCCCCACGTCTTCTGTCGTGTGCTCGGCATCGGCGCTTCAAGCCAGGCACCGAGGCCTTGGCCGTGTCTTCCCAGGGCCCCGTCACGTCGCTCTGGCCTGAGGTGGCACACGTCTCCAGGCACACGCAGCAAGAGGGTTCCTGGGGAGCCCAGCACAAGAAGAAGGCCAGAACACAGCGCTCTAGGTGTGGCCTCCCCACTGCTGAGTGACTTGGAGGATCACCTCCCTCGACCTACTGGCAATACTTTGCCATATGCAGCCCTGCATATCATTAGACTTCCTAGCGGCAAGGGCAGATTGCCAGCTCCCGTTAACTTTGTGTCTACCAGGACTCCCAAGTCCTATTCTGCAGAGCTACTTTCCAGACGGTTGGCCCCTGCATGTCCTGGTTCATCAAGTTGTTCCTTCCCCGGTACAGGACTTTGCACTTGCTTTTGTTGAACTTCATGAGGTTCCTGTCAGCCCATTTCTCCAGCCTGTTGAGAAGGAGAAGTAAGAGAAGGGAAGTAAGTTCTTACTTCTCTTGAAGTAATATCAAGAAGCATGAGATACCCATTTCCACTCATGGATACATGCTTTGGAGAATCCTGATGGAAATGACACATCCCAATGAAATACAATCCAGCCACTTTGGGTAAAGCTGTTGCATTGAGGAATCTCACTGCCTGGTTAATCCTGCCTGACAAAGCCTTTTCAAAAAGTCACACAAAATCCAGGGTTTGGAAACAAGCATAGAGCTATGCCATACAAATATAAAACCAGAAAAACACTCACTGTTGATTGAAATAATTAGGTAACGGCATCCAAGGCACCGAGGCTCTTAATGTTTAACGGCTGTGTTAACGAGGGAGGAAACAGAACGAATGCTGGGAGTGGTTCTTATGACACCCTTTTCTAACTACCTTCAGTGAAGAATGAAACTACAGGAAAGATTACCCTGAAAATTCAGACACCAAAGAACAGCTTAGAAATGTGAAAGTGCACACATCAACCATAGTGCCCAAAGCACACCATGGACTCCTAAGAAAGAATTGACATGTTTGCAGAGCCGAGATGAAAAAAGCAAATGCACAGCTGGTTTCCAAAGGAAAGCAGTGGGATATGAAGAGTTATTTTTTAGAAGCTTAACTTGCTTCTTTGATAAATTAGTGCAACAACTATGAAGAGGCGAAATATCATTGCTTCTTGTTTGTAAACTTCCCAAGCTACTTGTCTGGGGAAAGGGGAGCCGTGTATCACTCTTGATGTCCTTGCAGGGATGAGCTGAAGAAGAGTAAATCTAAATCCCAGGTTTGGGTTGACCTGGTGTGTTGCTAGTTTTGTGACTCTGATGTTTGTGTTAGTGCCAGTTGGAAAGAGAATAGAAAATCCTTGGAGCAGCCCAATGTAGCAGAGCAGGTTTTGTTTCACTCTAGAATTAATAGAGAAAATGTTTGTAAAGGAAAAAGCTCACAAAGCTCAGAGGCTCCATAGCTCAGGGGTTAGAGCACTGGTCTAGTAAACCAGGGGTCGTGAGTTCAAATCTCACTGGAGCCTGGGGACTCTGTACCTCCCACGAAGACCTTCAGCTTTATCTTTCTGTTTTCTTCCAAAACGTTGCTGTTGTCATTTTTTGGAGCATCCACCCCAGCCTAGATGAAATACAAACATCATATAGCGCTTATACCAAATAACAGGCAATAAGAAGCAGAGAAAAATAGCAATGATCAAAGCTAAACCCTCAAAAGAATACCTCCCAATATTTTTGAAGTATAGCAGTCAAAGATAGGAAATATCTAATACCGGGATTTAAAGCCTTCTGAGCCCCACAGACATTGTGAAGGTCATTGATGAACAAATCTGAAATGGCTGGTAGATATTTA